AACTGCTAACGTCGATGCATAGACTCGTTACATGGTTAGAAGAGATATTAGTATTTCGGCACATTGTGTGTTTGTGATTCTCAAAAAACCTTCAGCTTTCACATTGTGAGCGGAGATCGCGACCATTGTTATCCTTGACTCCACGGGGATGCCAGGCTAAAGGGGATGAGTTGCGACTGTATACGTGCTCGAATCCGATGATCGTGAGTTTGAATCCCAGCTTCGCTATGTTGGTTTTACTGCCAGGCTGTCTCTCACAATAAACATGCATTGATGCAGTTCAGTCACTCCTGGACTATCCACGAATCAATCCGCGAGAAGCACCTGTAAAATTGTGCACCCACTCGCCTGTTTGGTCTGTGAAGGAACAGACAGTGGGCGGATAGCGAAAATCGCTGCACTGACCTCTCATTTCATCTGTAAGGGTCCAATTATGCCACAACAATTTCACATCTCAGTGTGGCGGCAACATAACCTCTCCCCTTGGACAAGACAACCTGTCGGTACACTAACCGGAAAACGTCACCATTGGACAAAGAGATATTGTTATGGATCTGGACTTAATTTATCTGCTGCCTTCCCAGCTCATCCCAAATATGTTCGACCTGTGTCAAATCAGGGGTTCAGGAAGACCTGTCAATGACATCAACACCAGCGTTACATAAGAAGCTGTGGAACGACAGTATGTGGAAGAGCGTTGTCATGTTGAAATGTTGACTGGCCAAAACTTTGTCCCGAGCAGGACAATTGCCACCCAGTTATTTTTACTATGATAGTGAGGATAATTGCCATCCAGAATAATTCAGATCAAATCCAAATGAATATCCTTACTTGGAGGTTACTTTTTCAGTAATTGTTTTTTGAGATTGTATCATTTTGATGTCACTTGGTAACGCATTCCAAAAATCTACTGTACTTGGTCAAAATGATTTTGAATATACCCGTGTTTTTACGCGAATATTTTGTGAATTTCTCAATCGGTACGAGTTACCGGTCGAAACGCTGTCTGGGACAAGATTACATAAATAATCTGGTGCTTTGCCGTTTATCATTTTATGGAAGAGGGTTATTTTTTGCACACGTCTTCTCTCAATAAGGGATATGCCAAATCATCCATTGCTCATTTAAACTAAAATGTCCAAGTGTTCAGATCAACTTAACGAAATGTGTAATGTATACCTGAAAAATGTAATTGGTATTGTATTTGCTAGTGCATTGTATTTAACACAATGCTATTTTAATAGTGCTTGATCTTAAATTCTAGATTGAAGTTTATGTACAAGATTTGTCTTGTGTTGCTGAAAGTTGGTTATATAGAGAATCTCACCCAAGTGTCTTCTGATATCAATTATACCATCACGAGTTGATAAAGTTACAAATATCCGAGGCTTGCCGAGGATATTTTTACTTTATCAACGAGTGTTGATATATTTGATATCAGAAGACACGAAGGTGAGATTCTATTTATCATCCCAAAATCACTCTTCATTAATTTTCAATGAAAAATGTACATCTCTGAACATGGTACTGCCATTAGACTTGCAGTGCAGCGATGTCATAGCATTGTGATGTCATCAAGTACATGACATCATAGCATTGTCAGGGCATTGTACAAAATCTACTGTCGAAACGATATCTCCTAGGAGATATCGTATGATCTCACACAAGCGATATCTCCTGTGGAACACAGTTTTGGATGATAAATCAGAGATTTATTATATGGTCTCTGGTTATATGGAAGAATATGTTATTATTTGTTATGGATTACCATGTAAACCTCAATCAAACTTGGAAAAGAAACTGAAGTGGGTTTTTTTATGTTTTGGGTGGCAATTGTCCGGATGGCAATTGTCCGGATGGCAATTGTCCTCGACCCCCGATACTGTATGACAGTAAGATTCCCCACGACAATCAATTAAAATCGACCTTTGGCACAGATGCTCACAAGACCACTCCAAATTGGACAGTCTGTGCGTGACGGCCACCTGGGATACCTGTGCAGTCCATTTCTGATGGTCTGTGATGCCACTCTACCTCTGAACAACTGTCTGCTAGTGAAGGGTGCAGTCAAAATCTAAATCTGTTGCGGTAATGATTTGTACGTCAAGCTGGTGTGACGTAAGACACGGCGGCTTGGCGTTTGATGCCCGTCTGTTACACACGGCTCCTCTGATTGTGTATTGTCCTCCACTAATGCAGCTTAACCGATATCCAGCATTAAGACTACTCACGTTGCTGATTTGTCTCGGGATACTCTCTCTTTTTAGTTTGAAGCATTTTCCTGTTTAGTAATGCCTGCGTACTTGCATTTCGATGCACGTGCGATCGCGTTGGGGATCACCTGATTCAGTGCAGTTGAAGAGTTTCATCACTTTTATCGAGCTATACGACTAAATGCCTCACACCGTTCACCAAGACCATGTTCCAACAACCTATATGTCATTGTCATGTGTATGGCATAACAAAATACTAAATCGAATCCCTCCGTCGTAATTATTACCATTAATGTGGCTGTCTTTCATCATGTGGTGTCGTCTCAGGACGCCGACCTTTCGATTTTTCACTAGTCTCAGGACGCCGACCTGCGGTTTCCTTTGAAGGTTAGGTTCTGATTAGGCCTAATTAGCGTTGTGGATAATCTACTCTAGATGTTTTGATAAGGTGAACTCGTCGCACATATCACTTCCAATTGATTGAAAAGTTTACAATAACACTTAGCAGAGTGCCAATATTGAACACTGTTCATATCTTTGGTATAAATATCTATGGAATGGCCAAAGGATTCACATTCGATTTCGAAATGGCAAATGCACAGCTCGATCAGAGATTCATCCCTACAGCTCGCGGCAGTCGTTACTTGGTTGTTGGCGGGTTCATGTACAGAGTCAGCAAGAGAAAACGAGACTGGATATCTTGGATATGTACTGCAAAAGACTGATGAAGACCGCTGCCGACAACTCGGAGACTACATGACCAACTTCTGGGTGGAGGGAGATCTGCACATGACGCAATGGAACCACCACAACACAGATGGGCCAAGAACAAACAACCACCTAGAAGGGTGGCATTCACGCCTGAAGAAATACGTCGGCAAGGCTCATCCAAACATTTTCGAGATTGTGTCGTTGCTGTCACGAGAACAGACCAACACCGAAAACAAGTTGGTCCAGTATGCGGCTGGCCAGAAGCGTCCGTCCAAGAAGAGGAAATACAGGGATTTGGAGCGACGACTGGATGACATTTGTCCCCAGCTTGAACAAGGAACACTGTCCGTGAGGCAGTTTGCTGATTCAGCATCCCACCTATTGCATTTAGGTTAAAATCTGTGAAAAAATGTATGCTATAGGAATTTACGACGATGTATTTATTAAAAATGCTAAAATCTGTCAACTGATAAAAATCTGTCATCTGTTGTCATCTTCTCATTAGGTGCGCTCTCATCCGCATAATCCGGATTATCCTCCTCTAACAACTCTTTGATCCTGCATTGTCCTCGTAATCCATTATTAATTGGCAAAATGAAACTAGTCTCAGGACGTCGACCTTTATATTTCACTCAACCGTAAAGTTTGGTCGAAAGGTCGGCGTTATGAGCCTGAACCTACATTCTGTAGGAATACCCAGGCGCAAAATACGTGTATAGCACTATCAGTTGATGTATGTTGAATCTACATTGACAGATATTGACAACAGTTACTTGTACCTGCTTTACTTTGGGAATGAGTGAGTTTAGTTTTTTGCCGCACTCAGCAATATTCCAGCTATATGGCGGTGGTGTGTACATAACCGAGTCCGAACCAGACAATCCAGTGATCAACGCAATAGGGATACGATGACATGTGTCAACCAAGTTAGCGAGTCTGACCACCCGATCCCGTTACTCGCCACTCGACAAGCGTGGGTTACTGAAGATCAATTCTAACCCGGATCTTCACTGGTCTACTTTCGGACTGTAACACAGTATACGTTGGGGTTTCTGTATGTTCAACGAAGACCAGTTCGCGAGGCTTTTGAGTTGAATATTCCTCAGGGAGCTGAGAATGAAACTGGAGTACACACTGATCCATTGAATAGTAATGATATTAATGTACTGCCATGAGCGTTCACACTTCAGTGGAATTTGGCGCATTATTGTATTGTACTTTTATTGTAGTAGTTTTATATATGATTTGATTTGTTTGTGGTAACACCGCACTCAGCAATATTCTACCCATCTGTAAAATATTTGAGTCTGTTCAAGACAATCTAGTAACACCCTAAGCATTGATCTATGGAACTGAAATACGACGGCATATATAAACCAGTCAGGGAGCCTGACCACCCGGCCCCAAGGTCGACTCTTACTACAGTCATGGGTTGCTGAAGACCAATTTGTACCAGGATATTCACAGATTTATATTAATGTATGTGTTATTATGTTTCCGCTTTTTGTCACATATTATCAGTTGGCGGATCAACTATAATTGCCTTCTAACTAAACAACGATACGTTACCGAATAAATGTTCATGCAATGTCAATTTGGCGTTATGTCTGAAGCCGCGTTTAAAACGTTAAAGCTTACATTCACTCACGACTCTGATTCAGTCGTCAAGGAAGTCGACGTGACAAATGGACAACGTGACATATAGTGTTATTTCTAAGCAGTATGTCTGTATATCAGCAACGAGCATGTTCGACAAGTTTTAAATGTAAATATAAAACCTAGCTTTTCTTCCTACTCAGATCATACAGTCACAAAAGAAATCATTAAAAAACATAGAACACAAACGAATTGCGCGTTTGGAGACACATGACGAATAATGGTCCCTAATGAGTGACTTGTGTCACCACCAGATGCCCACTCCGAACACGACGCCACGCCAGGAGGGGATTATGTGCACATGAATAAGACCGTAATTCTTTGCGTTGTCTATTATTGACTTTACCTACAGTGGTATTGAAAGTGATACCCCAAATCCGGTCGGTGTGTGAGTGTATGACCCAATGATACAACCAGCAAAAGTACAGAGCGAAGGGAGTTGAGCCGGCCGCGGAGCAACATCAATTAGAATGTTTGTCTCCTGGACGACAAACAACAAAGCGGTAAACACAAGGAATGATCCGAGTCGTCTGCTCCCTACCAGCAGACGATACATAGTCGAGGCAGCGAGAGGTGTACCACGTTCGCCGTCAAGTTCTTAAGCAAGTCCTAGTTTGGAAAAAATCTTCATTCGTTCTTCAAGATGGGTTGTAACGGCAGCAAAAGTACCCAGACGCAGGCGTCGACTGGACAGCAGCCCACGAGCGATACGAAGCAGGAGCAGACGACACAGGAGCAGACGAACAACGCATCTGGGGGTACGTTGAGGGTGAATCACACAACGGTGTTAGTCTCAGGTGCACTCAGCATGATTGAGCAATTTATGCTAGCGATACTTGAGACGTACTAATTATTGACAGCTATATCTAAATGCGGCTGCACATTGAAGTTAAAAGGTTTCAGAAAACAAATCTTATATATGCTTTTTACCATCTACACAATGAACTATCTTTATGTCATTTGCATAATGTGGTTGATGAAAAAGGTGGTATATCCACGTACGTAATACTAAAAGTCTAAAACAACCTGACATAATATCTGTTTTAAGTTGTTCACTGTGTGGTAGTTAATATGCGTGACAAGCGATTTCGCCAAAAACAAAATACTAAGTATGGGGTAAAAAGATATAATTCACCAATGTACGCATTTGCAAATTTGATGATATTTAAAAGGGATAGCATATGTGAATAGTTATGTTTGGAAGTCTTGTCATCGCATGCAGGCAAGCTATCCGTAGAGGTACTGAACTTCATCGGTGTATAAGATCTCGACAATATCCAGGTCGCATGCAGGTGTGCAATCACGCCGTGTGTCTTGTTCCGTCTGCAGTGACATATTGCATCACCTGTTCCGGCAAGCAGGAACATACCGTATAGCCCTCAGCCAACCGCTTTATGGTTCCTACACATGACACAAACCGATACAACTGGTTTGTTGGTCCTGTACGTAAACTACAGATATTGTGTTACCGCGCCAATAACATACTGGCACAAGGGCGTGAAATGACCTATAGACAATGTACAAAATACGAAACAAGACTTGTATATTAGTTATAGCTTTGTTTGGATCAACATACTGAGGTCAAAAAGCGCGATAAGATTAATATTCGTGTTAAAGCTTTGTTGGCAGTACTGACTGAAATTGGGGATGTCGAATATTTGGTTTGCAACAGTTTCTTGAACACAGAAACACTGGCAACAGATTGCGGCTCGGTTTCACAAACCTATCTTAGTATTAAGAGAGTCTATCTTAATTCCATGGTTAATACTGTTTTGTGTAGTTGGGTTTATTGCATGGACCTTGTTGGTCGGAAGGAACTGGTAGAACAGTCGTGTACAGTCGTGCGGTGAGGAATATTGTTTAATTAATTCCCAGAGAGCGCGTGAACGTTACTGTGTTTCTAAAAGGTCATTACTCTGTGCAAATGGTCCCTCTGTGTGCCCGCTACAGCGTAATGTGTAATCTAAGGCCGCGACAAATTAATTAATTGTTTCGTGGAATTACAACAACTGTTACAGAAAAGATTGAGTCTTGGTTTGTATTACTGTGTGTTTGATTTCTGTTCAATATGACAGAACGTTCCATAAACGGTAGACGTTACAATAAAAGTCTCTATCTCTATCGATACAACTATAACCAGTTTCCTAGTTTAATCATGTTTACATTTCAGGAACTATTAACGACAGTTTTCGCCGTTACTTTTGCGGAAAATGAAACATAACATACATTCAAATCATTTCTTAAAGCAGTGTTGATAATGCGTTATTGCCTTATGAAAAGATTAAATTGAGGTTAATCAAAGTGATATTAGGTCACATCTGTACGATATACGTTGTTCCGTGTTCCGTTAACAGTATGGTGTAATCGAGTCCATCCTTGTTACATGACACAGTTATACTGTAACCATGATGAGGTCACAGTACCCCTGTAGAACAACTTATTTATCCAATCAACGCTCATTACGTATTTGATCTGTCCTTTCTCTCCACTCCAAGACATGAGACCGGGGCAGGTCAACTGTTACCTAGCAACCAGTAAGAGGATAAGAAACCAGGGATACCAGTTGGTCCACTGAAACACTCCAGTTGATTAATGATCCCACGTCAGTCAGATTACATAAGGATCATTGAAAGGTGGTGCTAGGTCACTCCTAGTTAGGCCATGCCTTGAGATGTGGAAACACCACCTATGTGCACTGAACCATTAATTAATGTGTCTCACAACTGGGAGTTATCACAAATGGGAGGACACCCTTGAGATGTAATTGTGAGGTCTTCACGATATATTTACACATTTCTCTGGTGTTATGTCATTAACACGTAGTTTATCTTCAGACAGAGCGTATCGATAATATCGTATTATGAATGTTGCAGCTAATACCATATCTTATAAATAGTGTGCCACAAGTAATAATAAATCAGTTTCCAAGTAGATCATTTAGATGAATCTTGACAGATCACATTCTCTTTGTCTAAGCCAACCAAATTATTCTCATGAAAATCTTGTTACATTTTCTATGCTTACTCAGAATAACATATGTCCTTGTTATCGCCAGCTTCATGATATTCAAGATAAAATCTGAGCCTCCTTAATTATTAAGGTTCCTTTAGTAACATATTTACAGATTCAGATATTTCACCAGCTTTGTTGTTGGGTCACTGTATGATACAAAGCGCTCAGCTGTTTGTTAAATTATGCTTGCATTATTGATGAACCATGCTAACGATCAAACGTAGAGGTGGGTTCCAGCTCAGCCTACCGTTAATTGTTAATACTTAATTACGGAGCTACACAAATGTGACTGGAAATCGATCAGCATGTTGATACAGAGAAGAGATCATTATATCACAGCTTCCCTCATTACTGCATTGCTATGATATTTTCTACCCGATTGCCGATGGTGTTTGTATGCAGTAATGCCATTCATGACTTATTCCGCCAAGGGTACAATCATCATAGAAATAACGACTACATGTTGAAGTGAAGACAAACCAATTATCAACTAACACGCTTCACAAATATTAATAATTTATAGCAATCACATATATGATTTCATAATATTGTTGTGTGGAAATTAATGGCACTATAAGGTTTACTTAAATAAGTATTCCTTTGAACAAAAACAGATTTATTTGGATAACAAAGTCAAAATAATTGAAACGGAAAATGTTTGAAAGCATGACGTGACATGAATATGAAACACAGAACTATCATCTTGACCATCTTGTCTCAATGGTTTGTGAGAAATATATGGATACTCATGCATGCCATCATGCTACACGTGTAAAGAGGATCTGATTTACATCCCTCCATGTGGAGTGTTATCTCATGTTACATTCATACATATGTACCCTCACGCCCATCCGCTTTACAAGGCTGACAACCAATTTACACATGCCACGAAGACCTGGTAATATGAAATGGGTTAATGACATGCTTGGAATCATTTATTACCCACTGAGCTTTACTTTTGTGTAAATGTCAAGTGTCTTTCCACTTCTACACATTGACCCGCAGTGCGTTTGAAAACCTAATCCATGCTTTCAGTTCACATCAAACGATTTTGTTATCGTCAAATATGTTTAAAAGGAAAGTAATTAGAATATGTCCGTGCTTCAATATGGGGATTTGAACACGCCAATTTGGTTAGTCGTTAAATAAATATGAACGTAGGGTTAAACTTATAAATTATATTCGTTTTTGACATGAACCTCTCGACGAGTGGTTTTATGTAGTCATACCGTGTGTGTTTTCTACCTGCGGCATGATCTCATCTGGTGCTCATTGTACAACAAGCAGAGCAACTACTCGAATGTATTTCGTGGCAGTTTCATAGCGGAATGTTTCAGAACAGAACAGAACAGAACAGAATTTTATTTCAGTAACAGGCCTCCGGCCCAAAATACATGTACATAAATTGATGATAAGTAGAGCACATATATATTTCATTTAGATTTGTGTTTCTTGTCAACAAAGTATAAAAATAGTGGACATCCTTGATAATTCATTTGCGGAATATTTTGATAGCGGAATGTTTCATAGTGGAATATGCATCACAGATATAAAACACATGCCATTCATCTTAGCGGAATGTTTTAATTTACATTGCGGAATGTTTCATAGCGGAATGTTTCATTGCGGAATGTTTCATAGCGGAATGTTTCATAGCGGAATGTTTCATTGCGGAATGTTTCGAATATTCCTAATGTCTGTGTATTTGCCTTCCAAGGCCGATTTGGGGCGGTGGGGTAGCCTAATGGTTAAAGCGTTGGCTCGTCACGCCGAAGACCCGGGTTCGAATCCCAACATGGGCACAATGTGTGAAGCCCATTTCTGGTGTCCCCCGCCGTGATGTTGCTGGAATATTGCTTAAAGCGGCAAAAACCAAACTCAGTCAGTCCAAGGCCGATTTGTGTTAACTTTTAGGGTCCTGTTCTAACTGAGTGGTGACCGTGGTTAAAGTGTTTGCTCGTTACGCCAACAACACAGGTTCGAATCCTCACATGGGTTCATGTCGCAAAGCCCAATTCTGCTTCTCGTCGAGATATTGGCGGAATATGGATAAGAAGGGCGTGAAACTACACTCACTCATCTATAATGGTTAATACGGTATTTACTACCAAGTATGCTGGAAATTCTTTAAAAATCACCGATATTCCAAAAGTAATAAGGTTTTAAGTGACATAGTGTGGCTGTTTTTCTAATATCACATGAAACCTAGAATACTAAAAATGAAAACTCTATATAATTCTGACATTAAAAAGCTTATACACCGCACGTGGAAGTTTGCTATAAAAGTTGTTAAGTTACTGGTCTGGATCATACATTGAAAGAGTTTTTTTCTTCTTCTTCATGAAGTAGTGTCATTATGCATAAACTTGCACAGCCGAACCAACATGCGAAAGGGTCTAGACAAACAGAAAGCATTCAGGTCAATGTAATAGAAACCAGTCTTAATTCTGTGATGTTTTGGAGCGGCATAATAGTATTTGTTGGTCCTAAATCCACGTATTAATGCCCCATCTATTCCCCTAATCTCCGATACAAACAGTCTAGTGTGTACTGGAGTATAGAGTGTTCGATTGTCCTGCTTCTCTCAAAACCTTAAACTGATTATATGACGGATGGATTTCCGAAAGGCGTGATGTTCTATAAACCTGCAGATTCAAACAGCAAACAGTGTCCCCTGTGTGTATGATGTAGTCAAGGAAACGAAGGGGGAATTGGTCCTTTTAAGTACCTGTTACTACCTTCATAT